CCTATGATAGAGCTCGTAATTGGATAGCATACCCTATTCCCATATGTTTTCAGCTTTGTTTAATAAAGTCATCTGATCGAGCAATAATAATGGATAAATCAGGCTTGTGGTTGTACCAGTTTACTCTGTTAAGTAGAAAATTTTCATATACAGTATCAAGTAGTTTGAACTGGTCTGCAAATTATAGTAGATATTTGCTATATTTAGCATACGTGTATTATTTTTCTATATCGATCCCTGTTATAACGAAATGACAATAGCAATTGTGTAAAATTCAGTGGTTATTATCATTATGTATGGTTGGACTAATAAGGTAATTGTTCTGTACTAAGGTATTTCCTAATAAATAATTATCTGTTTTATTAATGAATTGCCTACTGTTGAATTACATATTGTGAGCCCGATTTTTTGGATCACAGGAATCCGACGATCCATACCCGATCCAAGGTCACGCGAAAAGTAACGGAAATGTTACTTCAGCTACTTCCATTACTTATGCGATAAATGGCATATCGACCTTTTATTACATTTAGTTAAGATATAAGGAATATATTGCATTTATGGCAGAAATTAATTACTAATGTAAATAAAACGTTTATTATAAATAAAGGGCATTTCTGCTCGGGAGAGGAGAACAACCATCCCTTCCCTTAAATAATTCCTGCACTCCTAACAACGAATTCCCTAATAACAATAAATACCCGACCCTTAATAAAAGTGAAAGTCTACCTATATTAGAGATGGGCACGTGCGTGATTTTGTTGGATCCCGCGCGGGATTTTTAATATGATCCCGAAATAAGATTATTCGGCCGGCATTACCATAATATCTGGCTAGCATTAATATAATATCTGACCTGCATTAACATATTTAGCTAATTCCTAATTGAAATTTATTTATTTATTTGCATACCATTTAACACATATGTTTATTTATATAAGGTAACTGCGTGACGCTGTCACGCGAAAACCAGGAACGGATGACTAACAGATGTGGGTGAATATTTAAAAAATTGAAAAGGGTTACAGTCAAGATCGGTGTTCGATATGTGTTATAGGTGATGTAACAATCAGCAAATAAAATATATTTTATATTATTACTTATACATCTTACAGGCAAAGCGGCTATGAATTTTTCGACAAACACATTTTTTGGGTAGACCATACGTAAAGCAACCAAAGGGTATACAATTTTAAAACAAACCAAATTACTCATTCGACAACCTTTACCAACCATTATCATTCGCGAAAATACATAAATTTAGTGTCTACTGACTCTTCACTTACTCTATAGGCTATTCAGAAGCCTCCTAATTCACAGCAGACTTTTAATAATATGCGTGATTCATATCGGGTCAAAAATGCTAACAACACACACATAAAATATACTATAGTAAAAAAGCAACTTTAACCAAACCCCATTACTAATTACAATCGCAAGACGTCAGTATTCATATATATACAGAGCTTACCACCCACGAATAGAAAACAAACAGTTCACAAAGCAGGCCCGAAAAAGCCCGTAAACAAGAAAAAGGAAAGATCTACCAATCACGCTGATAGCAATGATCAATCAAAACCACGAAAACGTGGACGAACATCAACGAACATGGCTGTAAACCATCCCCTTCGTTTCACTTCCGTGAAACTCCGTTCCTGGTATATACGATAAGAATTTACCTTCTTGCCGTTGGTATCTTTCGCTTACATTACAAAAATATTCTTTATGATTAAGTC